AGTGTATTTCACTGATGTTCATGGTCAGAGCATAAAATCAATATGTTTTCACTAACCCAGCTTGGTACAACATCAATAACAACATTCTTCAATACTGATTATCAAAGTGAGTACTTGTTATCACCGTCCATGTTGTTATATACTCCTTATTGTTTTTTTATCTTTTGAAACCACAATAATAATCAGGATATCTCTCATCACTACCAGTGAAGCACAATGCCTGCCTATTAATTCAGGTTTCCTTTCAATGACATGCACCCATTTACAAAGCATTCAAAACACATTCTATCCTGGGTAATTATAAGCATTTATAATATGATCCAATAGGCCGTCACATTGTGACATCATATTTTTGCCAAACAGAATGTAAAAGTGGAATAACAATTATTATACATCTATCATCGTAACGCCATAAGTTGCAGCGTGCCGTAATTCTGCGGTATTATACAGAGTATTTTCATCCTACCATATAAGGAAATGCAAATTCCAAATATGGAATGATTATGCACGTAAGCGTCCTCTAATAATAAAAATAAACATGGCTTGCTATCAGGGTTTGACCAGACTCCACACAAAGAAGTTTGCTGATTCTGTTCTAAACTTTTTAGATTTTGGCATTCCTTTGAAGGAAAAGATGTATAATAATGAGGTTATTACACGAATACCTCAAAGTTTGCACTCAGACAGTACGCCATGCATCAACCTCCGTTGCGCATCGGTCAATACTCCTGCTGTACTGCCTTTGTGCATACTTTGAGGTATTCTCATAATAACCTGATAATATCGCTCGCTGACGAACACAGGCCAGCAATCTGCTGCGATAAAATTGCCCATATAATTTTAATTTTTTTACTCAACAAGTACCATCTGAGGATACAAACAAATAATACATAATGAGAAACTATTAAAAAAGGAAATATCTATGTTGTTTTATTAATAAAAACACATACATAATATTTATAACAACTGCAACAAACAACACCATTATTTTATGTTTGAGTGCCAACCAGTCACTGTGCACGAGCAATCATGCAGAATGTAAACAAGTGCGACTGCATATATTGCAGCAACTATAAAGGTGAAACATTTACTATACTTTGGACTTGCAGGAAGAACATTTTATTAAGTTGTTGTATTGTGTTGTCATGTTGTTTTAACAGCAATACCAAATCCTCCAGAGTCTGTGCAAGTTGTATCTACTTCCAGTGAAAGCATTAAATGGTCTTGGAAGAAGCCAGCGGATTGGACGGATGACTACCATTTATTCTACAGAGTCCAGTATTCAAGTGTTGCATCATCATCATCATCATCTCCATGGCAACAGGTATGTCACCTTCATGCATCATCAATTATTCCCCTTTAATATTAAGTATGTACTCTAGCATGTAACATGTACCGTTATGTGTATCCCCTAGACGAGTGTGGCCATGGCAACAACCATGTTCACCCACATTATGTTAATTGAGATTGACCATGGTCAACCATGGTAGTTGATATGGTCAGTGACAATGGTCGAATCACAATTTTTTCAGGACGTGCTTCAGAAGTATGACGAAACATCCTATGAATTATCAGATGGAAAGCCATATATGGAATATTATTTCAAAGTTTCCTGTATCTCAGGATTTGCTTATCCAGAGATATCTGGAGATGAGACTGAAATATGGAGTGAATGGTCTGATGTCATAACAGCTAGAACAGATGAAGCTGGTAATTATACTGATAGTTAATTCCTAGCTCTCGGACATATATAGTCTGAAACGGGAACCAATATATTTTTGGTATGGATTTCATACATGCACCAGGACTAATTTTGGTAAAAGCTTGGTACAAAGACAATTTATTTTAAGACATCATGGTGTACATATACACGTCAATTTGTTTCTCATTTCATTTCCCTTAGGGACGACGTCAAAATATCGATGTCGGATAAAAAAATTAATTCATTTAATTTTTTTTAACCCTCAACCCCCAACCCCCCCAACCCCCACCCCGCACTGAAACTTAATTGATAAATATTGGTCATGGCGTCAGACTAAATTCACCATTAAATACAAATTGATAATCGAACAGTAGTATTGCATAGCAGTTGGTTGTCAGGTGGGTGTAAAAAGACTTTACAAATGCACCTCATTTGACGGACATATTTACACTCGCACCAAACCATTTTCTCGTCTTAGATTTTTTTTTTTTTCATTTTCTGTTATTTCTGTCCATGATTGGATAAAAAAAAAACGAACTACAAATACTCCAAGATTTTTTTGACTTCATTAAAAAATAAAATCGTTTTTGTAGGATGGAAACTTTTTGAGGTCAAAACCCCCCACCCCACCCCCAAGCAAATAAGTTTTTTATCCGACATCGATCTTTTGACGTCATCCCTTAGAGTAAGCGGCAGTCAAAATCAATATCAACATTTGAACGTACTTCTTATACATTTAAAATTGGTACATCACTCAATAGGTGATTTTCGTACAATTGCAAGATCTCGCGAGATGCATGAAAGACGCGCGTCGAACGTCTGCTTTAAAAATCGAACGATTTGATTTTCAACTCGAATTTCTTTATTTCGTAGCTCACATCGACCGGCCGATCTTCGACAGAGGAATATTGCTTCCGAATACCCTTACTTAATCAAAATTGCCTATCACCAAATGTGGACAGCACATTATTAAGCATGGAAATGTCCCCAAAATACTTTCGCGTTTATCGAATTCCACGCGATGTTTGACGCCACTACGATGCTATGACCTTTGTTTGTCCTGTTTTTACATTCAATTTCACGCATAACGCGTGATTCTCGCAGTGAACGGAAAATGGTCTATTGAAAACAAGTTCAAAAGTGTCATGTTTGAGGCTTTCAGGAAAATTTAAATGCAAAATGCTGAATAAACTCATTTTAAATGCATTTATTGGGAAAATTAAAAGGTGTTTTCAAATACATTTATTATTATTTATAAGAGACCGGTAATATCTTTTAAACCTATTTATAGATAAATGAATTTCAAACATGTTCCAAATATTAAATAACTCATTTGCATAACAATAACATGTTTCAAGAACAGACCTTGAGTATCTAATTATTGACTTGTGCAAGTTTATTACCTCAACAAAAGAGCTAAAGAAGGAGAGACAACACTTTGATGGAAATGATTTCCTGGCGTATGGTTTAAGGATAAAATTGATCCTAGCTAGTCTTATATTTTGTTGTTTCTTGCTCTTTTGTTCAGCTCAATTCTTTTAACTAACAATTTAAGTGTAAACAAACAATGTACAACATGTACTTTACATGCATTGTTTGTGACATTACGTAGAACACAATACGATGTGATGACCTCTCCCTTTAAATACATAATATTGCTCAATACATTACATATGTTCATATATTCAATTTTAAGTCAATCAAAGTCTTAGAGTATAAGTATACCACATTTTGGTCAAAACATTGGATGAAAAAGATGTTTTTGGCTGTTATTGACTATACATTGAATAATTACATACAAACTAGGTATGTAATACATTACATATATTGTTAGAGACAATTTCATCATCAAAGTTTATTTAAAGTCATTTATTTCTGAATGTTTAAGCAGGGGCTTTTTCATTGTCTTGATGACTCATTTTTGTTGTCATTATGCATTTTATTTGGCATCTACTTTTTGTTTAATATATGTCACAAATGTACCAATCTTGTGATCACATGACATTTTATTACATAGCCCCCTCTGGTACAATTGAGATTGGGATAGCACCAGATGAAGTAGTAAATGGTGAACAGAGAGCAGTGAAACTTACATGGAAGGTAATGTCAAACATTATTTTGATATTTTATCCCCTAGCTACATATTTTGTTCATATTACTCCCTAGCCACTCATTCTGTTCATATTACTCCCTAGCCACTCATTCTGTTCACTTTACTCCCTAGCCACTTATTAGTCCCCGTTCGGATGCAGTCCGAAAACGGGGACTTATGTTTTGCCCTGTGTGCGTCCGTGCGTCCGTGCGTCCGTGATCACCTGTATCTTGAACATGCATGGACTGATTAAGTTCAAACTTCACTCATACATCACACCTTATATGGGACATATGCACATGCATTTTTTTCATGATCCGATTAACGATAGCCGAATAGCGGCCATTTTAAGACCGAAAATGCATCAAAATCGCACATTTTCACCATTCCGGACCCGGATCTCAGTTATGCATGGACGGATTTTGTTCAAATTTGGTACATACATT